TGGGGGTGGGTCAGGCTGCCCCCCGCACCAGGATCCTGCCCCGCATTTGGATCGACGGGACCCGCACCGCCTGGATCCCCCCGCCCGGACCTGCCCTGCCCGGGAACGGGTTGTCAACACCCGGGATTGCCCGGTTTTCCGCATCCCGGATCGTCCCGACCCGCACTGCCCGGCCCCCGGCTCCCCGCACCTCGGATCGTCCCGACCCGCACTTCCTGGGTGCCGGCTCCCCGCACCCGGATCATCCCGGTTCCCGGCTCCCCGCATCCCGGATCATCCCGACCCGCACTTCCCGGGTCCCGGTTTCCCGCATCCCGGATGATCCCGGGTCCCGGTTTCCCGCATCCCGGATCGTCCCGACCGCACTGCCCGGCTCCCCGCACCCGGATCCCGGTTTCCCGCACCCCCGGTGCCCGGATCCCTGTTTCCCGCACCCGGATCCCGGTTTCCCGCACCCCCGGTGCCGGGATCCCGGTTTCCCGCACCCCCGGTGCCCGGATCCTTACTTCCCGGTGCCCGGCTCCCGGTTTCCCGCACCCCCGGTGCCCGGCTCCCTACTTCCCGCACCCGGATCCCTGTTTCCCGCACCCTGGATTCCTCGCACCCGCCCTCCCGGATCCCGCCTAAACCCTACCCGGATTGTCCGGAGCCGGTTTTCCCGGCTTTCCCGCATCATCTCCCGGTTCTCCCGCACCCAGTTTGGCCGGGAACCGGTTGGCCAGATCCCGGGGATCCCGACTCACCTGGATCCCAGGAATCCCCCCCCGCACCCCCCCAAGAGGGGCTGGGGATGCTCGGGATGGGGTCCTCCCGCATCTCCCGGGTCCCCCCGAGGGGTTTGGGCTGCTCGGGATGGGACCCTCCCGCATCCCCCCCGGGGATGGGGTCCTCCCGCATCCTCCCCCCCTTACAGAAATGCAGAAAAAAAAAAAAAACCAAAAAAAAAACCAACAAAAAAGAAAAAAACCCACCCCAGTATTTTGCTGAAGACTTTTTATAATGTGAGATATTTTTATTTTATTTTATTTGGTCACTTTAAACCAACCCACCACCTACGGAGGAGAAAAAAAATCAATTAGTCCTCTATTTTATTTTAATTTTTATTTTTTTTTCCTTTCTCCTTCTGGTATGTGCATGTCATTGCATGACTGCTCTGATTTTTTTCTTCTTTTGTTTTAAGAAAACTGTGCTCAGACATTTAAGCTAAACTAAGCAAAAATAATAATGACTTTAAAAAAAAAAAAATCTTTGTTGCCAAAAGGTCGTGCTATCCAGGTTTGATGTCTGCATGTGAAAAAAAAAACAACACACACACACACACACAAACGCAAAAAAAAAAAACATTAAAAACGTACAAAAAATAAAGAGAAGAGAAAGAACGCAGTTCTAATTTATGTGAGCCGAAAGGAACAAAAAAAAAAAAAAAAGCAAAAAAAAAAAAACCAAACCACAATCAGGTTTAACCACACAAACCTAAGGGAATGATATTTTTTGAAAGACTTTTGTATAAAGTTGAGTACTTAGAGAAAAAAAAAAAAAATCATACCAGATGTAATATATTTTGTGGATGTTTTTATTTCTTGGATTTATAGTACCTTATACTAAGGTTAAAAAAAAAAAATAATTATGCTTGATATTGTGAAAAGGTGATAATTTTCACACACATTTCATTTGCTCATTTGTCATGTTGTAATGCAAATATGATAGTTAATGCATACAGCATTTTTAAGGGAAAAAATCAGAAATATTTGAACTGATGTATTGTTGTACCATTTGCACTGTGAGCAAATGCTAATGCAGTAAATATATTGTGTTTGCTGACAATCAAAAGCTGGAGTAAATATCTTTATTTTACCTTGGTTTGGAAAAAAAGAAAAAAAAAAGATCTGTGATGGTTTGGAAAGAGAAAAAAAAAAGTCTCTAATATGTAAGGGGGGGGTTAAAATGGCTGGAAATGTGTAGGACGGCGGGTGTTGTGCCTCGTTACGGGCGACTTTGGAACCTGTTTGTACCTATTTTATTTTTTCCTAGTGTTGTATTTTCTTAAATATTTATATTTTTTTGTATGATTTTTTCAATTTTATTTAATTTTATTCTTTTTGTTTATTTTATTTTAAATAACCCAACCTTTTCTCAGCAACCCCACTCCCCTCCTTCAGTTCTTTTTGCAGGACGACGTGCCGAGACCAACCGGCCAAGACGTTGGGTGACCCCCCCGAAGGTGACCGACCCCCGGTGTGTCCCCCCCCCAACAAAACCACCCCGTCCTTGGCTTGCCCTTGACCTTGCGTCTTCTTTTCCACCCCCCACCCAGCTCGTGCCGTCGCCTCCTTGACCCCGGTGCCGTTCCTCCGGGTTGCGTCTGTCGGATAACGGTGGGCCAAAGAGGATCTTCAGCCGGTAATTAGCCCCCGTGGCCTTTCGTCGGCCAAATCGCCCCGGGGTGGAGAGCGGAGAAGGGATTTTGGCCGGGCTGGGTCGGCTCGGGTTAAAAATAACCCGGCCGGGTTTCCAAGCCGGAGCTCGGAACGGGCGGAGAGAAGGAAAGGGATGAGGCGTTGGGATGTTCGGAGAGCGGGCGCGCGGGTGGTGGCCCACCATGGTTCAATCCTTGCCCAAGGATGGGGCTGGAGCCCTGGTTCTCCTGGAGCTGGGATGGTGTTGGAGGATGGTGAAGGTCTGGGTGTCTCTTGGTCCGTAGGGGTCCAGCTCGATTGGGCTCGGACGTGACTGGAGTGGTTGAGCGTCCCACCAGCTTCCCCTTCTCCCAAGGCTTGTTGGTGGCCGGTGTTGGCACCGTGGTCCTTCTTGGCATTGGCACCGTGGTTCTTCTTGGCGTTGGCACCGTGGTCTTTCCCGGCGTTGGCACCGTGGTCTTTCCTGGTGTTGGCACCGTGGTCTTTCCTGGCGTTGGCACCGTGGTCCTTCCTGGCGTTCCTGGGGTGTGGAGCTATCTGCGTCGCCGTCAAATGTCCCCGTCTCTCGCTCTGCGTCCGTAGCCGGGCCCTGGAGAAGCTGCTGCTCCCACCAGCTCTGCCCATCTCCAGGGCTTCGCTGAGCTCCTCAGCTTGGAGAGGGTTTAATTTATGGTCCTTCCTGGCGTTGGCACCGTGGTCCTTCCTGGCATTCCCGGGGTGTGGAGGTATCGGCGTCGCCGTCAAATGTCCCCGTCTCTCGCTCTGCGTCCGTAGCCGGGCCCTGGAGAAGCTGCTGCTCCCACCAGCTCTGCCCATCTCCAGGGCTTTGTTGAGCTCCTCGGCTTGGAGAGGGTTTAATTTTGGGGGGAACCTGGGGACAGACAGTGCCCGGGGTGGCCACCCGGTGACTCCTGGCACGCCTGGCCGGGGATGGGACCTCGTGGCATTGGGGGAATTGGCTCTGGAGCCCACAGGAGCTGTGTTGGGTGGGCTCCTGCATCCCCAGGTGGCTTCCCGGGTGGTTGAGCTCTTGGTGACCATCAGGATGAGGCCGGAGTGGCTGTTGGATTCGGCGTGGGGCAGGAGGGATGGCCCCGTCCGTGGCGTAGGGTTGGAGTGAGCCGGGGCTCCCCTTGGTGCTCCAAGCACCTCGGAGGTCCCACAGCGATCGGAGGCCACGTGTTGGTTTTGGAGCTGCTGGTCCTTGTGGTGTCCCCTTGTGTGGCTCGGAGAAGCCCAGGTGGATGGGTAGGAGCTGGAGCCACCATGGATGGACACAGCTGGTGGGACACGGAGAGCCACCACGGTGGTCCCCCAGCATCGTCTGAGGGTGCTGCGCTGGTGGTGGTGGTTGTGCCCATCTCCACATGTGGCTTGTGCTGGAAGATGTTGGAGATGGTGGGCACGGGAAGGTGGTGGCATGGTGAAGGTGATGCCACACGGTGTCACGATGAGGTGCCACCCAACATTGCTCTCCAATGCTGTGGGCAAGGAGGAGGAGGAGGGAAGGAGCCCACCAGGCGTCAACGGGGCATCGTGGCCTTGGTGCCAGGCTGGGGGAGACCTGCTCTGCCACCCAGGCACCCGGCATCCCAGCGGGCAGGATCACCCCCTGCACAGAGCAGGAAGGTGAGGAGCACCCTTGGGTGGCGAACTGCGTGGAGTGCGTGCAGCACCTTGCACGAAAAAATGTTGGTTGCTACGGAAACACGGCACTTTCCATCCCCGTTCTGGGCTATCTGTGTTCTGGGGAGGAGGGAAGGGTTTGCCAGTCACGTACCAGCTCAACACAACTCCCTGCCTTTCCCTTCTCCGCGGCGGCTCCGGGTTCCCGAGGAGGCCACCAACACCTCGCTCTTCTCCACCGAGGTTCTTCAGGGCTTTGCCAGCTGCTGTTGAACCTCCAAAGAGCTCTCCATGGGATGGGATTTGCTTCTGAGGAGGAGCACCAAGAGCCAAGACGCCAACCCCCCGACATCCCCAGGGGTGGGAGCCATGAGGACCCGCACCCAGAAGCTCCCAGTTTGCAGCTGGAAGCTCTTTGATGCCGCAGATGTTGGTGGGATCTTCTCAACCATCGCCTCAACCTTCCCTGCTGCTTCGGCAGGAGATGACTTCTGCTGAAGGGCTGGATGGTTTCTGCATCGCCCCACCTTCGTGTCCCACCCTGTGCCAGCACCCTGAAGATCTGTCCCCCCCACCTTCTCCTCCCCATCCCTGGTTGGGGTGGCAGGTCCCACCTCCCTGGCACATGCCAGGGTGCCACGTGGGGCAGAACCTCCATGGAAGGTGCCCCCCCTCAAAGCCCCGTGGCCACCAGGACGTTCAGATGCTGGTGCAGGTCCCACCTCCCTGGGGCAGAACCTCCATGGAAGGTGCTCCCCCTAAAAAGCCCCGTGGCCACCAGGACGTTCGGATGCTGGTGCAGGTCCCACCTCCCTGGCACATGGGGCAGAACCTCCATGGAAGGTGCCCCCCACCAGGACGTTCAGATGCTGGTGCAGGTCCCACCTCCCTGGGGCAGAACCTCCATGGAAGGTGCTCCCCCTAAAAAGCCCCGTGGCCACCAGGACGTTCGGATGCTGGTGCAGGTCCCACCTCCCTGGCACATGGGGCAGAACCTCCATGGAAGGTGCCCCCCTTAAAGCCCCATGGCCACCAGGATGTCCAGATGCTGGGACCGGGGTGTCCCACCCCAAGGTGTTGGCATGGGGGGCATCGGTGGGGACACTGGTGGCCAACGGGAAGCGGGAACAGCTGGAAAACCCTTCCTGGCACCGACCTTCCTCCATCCTTCCTCTTCTTCCCACCCATGGCCCTGGTTGCCCACCACTGGTTGCCCACCCAGGTCTGTGTGTCCATGTCCCCCCTGGACCTGCGTGTCCCACGCAGTGTGGGGGACATTGGTGGGGACACTGGTGGCCAGGAGCAGTGGTGTCTCCCAATGGGAAGCAGGAACAGCTGGAAAACCCTTCCCAGCACCGACCTTCCTCCATCCTTCCTCTTCCTCCCACCCATGGCCCTGGTTGCCCACCGCTGGTTGCCCACCCAGGTCTGTGTGTCCGTGTCCCCCCTGCTTTCCTAGCCCCCTCCCCACTAATCCCCTGTCCTCACCGGTGTCGGTAACACCTTCCCAGTTTAGCATCATCCTCCCCGGCTGGTAATTACCGCTCTGTTTACCTCCACCTGCTAATTAATAAAGCCACCCCCTGGCGCCGATCCCGGGCCTCCTCCCCTCGGCCCCGTGGGGTGGCACGTGCTGTCACCAGCCCCGGTGTCACCGGGATGTCACCCCTGGGGTTGGCGACGGGGGTCCCAGGGCACCCAGAGCTTGGGGGGGGGTGTGCTTTTTGGCCACCAAAAGGGCTTTGCTGCCCCCTCCACCCCCACCCAGGCTCCTGGAGCTGGATTTTGGGGGGGTTTCTAACCAAAAGTGGGTGTTCCTGCCCCTCCCCTGCGCCCTCGACCACCCCAGGGTGCTCCCAGGCACCACAAGCCCATGCCCTCACCCACCCGAGGGTGCTTCTGGGCATCCCCTCCCCACGCTTTCGCCTACCCCAGGGTGCTCCCAAGCATCCCACGCCCCTCGGCCACCCTGGGGTGCTCCTGGGCATCCCCTCCCCATGCTCTCGCCCACACTAGGGTGCTCCTGGGCATCCTGTCACCCACCCCAGGGTGCCCCTGGGCACCCCTTCCCCTCGCCCACCCCAGGGTGCTCCCAGCCACCCCCTCCCCGTGCCCTCACACCACCCCAGGGTGCTCCTGGGCACCCTCTCGCCCACCCTAGGGTGCTCCCAAGCAGCCTGCACCCTCGCTCACCCCAGGGTGCTCCTGAACACCCCCTCGCCCACCCTAGGATGCTCCTGGGCACCCTCTCGCCCACCCTAAGGTGCTCCCAAGCAGCCTGCACCCTCGCCCACTCTAGGGTGCTCCCGGACACCCTGTGGTCATGTTCTTGCCCACTCCAGGGTGCTCCTGGGCACCCCTTCTCCTCACCTACCCTAGGGGTGCTCCTACCCATCCCCTCCCCATGCTCTCGCCCACACTAGGGTGCTCCTGGGCACCCTCTCACCCACCCTAGGGTGCTCCTGGGCACCCCTTCCCCTCGCCCACCCCAGGGTGCTCCCAGCCACCCCCTCCCCGTGCCCTCACCCCACCCCAGGGTGCTCCTGGGCACCCTCTCGCCCACCCTAAGGTGCCCCCACGCACCCTGCACCCTCGCCCACCCCAGGGTGCTCCCACCCCCCCCCATTCCCCGCTGCTCCCGGCTTTGGGGGGTGATTTTACTCCAATACTCCCCCACACACACTCCTCACACTCCATTCCCGGTGTTTGCACCGAAATCCGAGGTTTTTAAACCCCTTTTTCCCCGTTTTCCGCTGCCGGGACACGGCCGGCAGCCATTTCCCCCCCCCGGTGACGTTACGCCCCCCGTGACGTCACGCCGCGCCGGGTTAACCTTCCTCCCGCCCAGCGGCGGCGAGACCGGAAGGGGCGGGGCTAAGCGCGGCGGCACTTCCGGGAGCGGCGCGGCGGGGGACGATGAGCTGGTGAGTGCGGGACCCCCCGGGCCCGGCCGTGCCCCGACCCGCTCCGCCGCCGCCAACACCGGTACCGGCCTCCGCCTCGGCCGCTCCGCATCGCACCCCGCCGAGCGGTACAGCCCGTCCGCGGCTCCCGGCCCGCCAGGCCCCGGTTTCTCGCTGCCGGGCCTTGCGGCCTAGTAGGGGCCTGGGGCTGGCCCGGCGGGGGCCGCGGTGCGGTCGGGCTTGGTTCTGGTGTTGGCCCCACTGCTGGCCCAGGTGGTGGCCCGGCGGGGGGCCTGGTGTTGGTCAGGTTTGGCCCAGTGGGGGCCCCCACCCTGGCCCCGGTGCTGGCCCGGTGGGAGCCCCGGTGCTGATCAGGCTTGGACCCCGGTGTGGCCCAGCTGGACCGTGGGGCTGGCCCTGAGCAGGTGCTGGTTCTGGCTGGGCTTGGCCCCAGGCAAGCCCCGGTGGTGGCTCCAGGAGAGCCCCAGTGTTGGTCAGACTTGGCCCCGAGCAGACCCAGTGTTGGTCAGGCTTGGACCCCAGTGTGGCCCTGGTGCTGGCCTGGCAGGGGCCTAGATGCTGGCCCAGCTTGGCCCCAGTGGTGGTGGCCCGGTGGGGGCCCAGGTTTTGGTCAGGCGTGGCCCTGAGCAGACCCTGCTGCTAGCCCGGCAGGAGGCCCAGTGTTGGTCAGGTTTGGCCCAGAGGATGACCCGAGCCTGGCCCTGGTGCTGGCCCAATGGGAGCCCCGGTGCTGATCAGGCTTGGACCCCGGTGTGGCCCCGGTGCTGGCCCGGTGGGAGCCCCGGTGTTGGTCAGGCTTGGCCCCGGTGGGAGCCCCGGTGTTGGTCAGGCTTGGCCCCAAGCTTGGCCCTGGTGCTGGCCCTGAGCAGGGGCTAGTGCTGGCCTGGTGGGGGCCTAGATGCTGGCCCAGCTTGGCCCCGAGCTTTGCCTACTGGCCCATCTCGGCCATGGGGCTGGCCCTGAGCAGGTGCTGGTTCTGGCTGGCCTTGGCCACAAGCAGGCTCCGGTGGTGGCCCCAGGAGAGCCCCAGTGTTGGTCAGGCTTGGCCCCGAGCAGGCCCCGGTGGAAGCCCCGGTGTTGGTCAGGCTTTGCCCCCAGCGTGGCCCTGGTGCTGGCCCTGAGCAGAGGCTGGTGCTGGCCTGGTGGGGGCCTAGATGCTGGCCCAGCTTGGCCCCAGTGGTGGTGGCCCGGTGGGGGCCCAGGTTTTGGTCAGGCGTGGCCCTGAGCAGACCCTGCTGCTAGCCCGGCAGGAGGCCCAGTGTTGGTCAGGTTTGGCCCAGAGGATGACCCGAGCCTGGCCCTGGTGCTGGCCCAATGGGAGCCCCGGTGCTGATCAGGCTTGGACCCCAGTGTGGCCCCAGTGCGGCCCCAGTGCTGGCCCAGCTTGGCCATGGGGCTGGCCCTGAGCAGGTGCCGGGGCTGGCCCTGAGCAGGTGCCAGTGCTGGCCCCGTGGAGGCCCTGATGTTGGCCCAGCGTGGCCCCACTGCTGCCACCGAGCAGGCCCCAGTGCTGGCCCAGAAGAGAACCTGGTGCTGGCCCTGCTTGGCCCTGAGCTTTGCCCTGGTGCTGGCTCCAGTGCTGCCCAGGCTTTGTTCTGGTTCTGGGCAAAAATGGCCCTGGTGTAGCTGCCCCAAAGCTGTCTCTGTAGCCACGCACATGATATATGGGTGTCTAACGGGTGTGCACCCGGGGGGGGCCTCACCTGTGCCCCCGGCAGCTGCTGCCCATCCCTCCCTGAGCCTTCATCCCGGTTCTGGGATCATCATCCCAGCCCCTTCACCCTCCCACCTCCCCGTGCCCAGACACCGCTGTGGGGTGAAGGGTTTGGTGCAGGGGGTCCCCAAAGGTCCCTGGCAGCTCCGTGAGGCTGAAATGCTGTGAAACCACCTTCGATGCCATTAAAGTCAAGCTTTTTTGTTAAAAAAAGAAAAAAAGAGAGAGTTCCCAGGTGTGTTTGAATCAAACTTGTGAAAGGCTCGGTTTGGCTACCACGGTGTCTTTGGCTTCTGCACGTTTATTTATTCTAACAGCAGTTATTCCCCGCCGTTTATTTAAACTAATTATATTAGAAATTAATCTTGACTGCTGTGGGCATCCCGGACAGTCCCCTAGAGCCAGTCCCGTTGTAAAAGGTGAAGGATGTGATGGTTTAAAGAAAGAAAAAAGACCTTCCCCTTGCCCGGCTGGCTTTGCCAGGGCAGGCACAGGGTGAAAATTGGTAGATTTTTTTTTTGGGTTGGGAGCGGGGGAAGTTGTGGTCTGGAAACCTTCTTCAACAATATAATGACGCGCACACAGGTACCTATTAAAATGAGGCCTTTTGGTTAAAAATACCACGCTTATCCACTGAGTTCATTTTTGTTTTGCTTTACTCATCTGGGAGCAGCCATGATTATAGAGAGCGGTGGGGAACGAGGGGCTCGGAGCCACCTTTTGTCCTCCTGAGCTCTGGGGGCTGCTTTTGGAAAACTCCAGCTGGTGATAGAGTCTTGCTCCGCTCTCCTGGTCCGGGAGGGGCTTTGGAGCCAAAAATCTGTGAAACCACCTTCGATGCCATTAAAGTCAAGCTTTTTTGTTAAAAAAAGAAAAAAAGAGAGAGTTCCCAGGTGTGTTTGAATCAAACTTGTGAAAGGCTCGGTTTGGCTACCACGGTGTCTTTGGCTTCTGCACGTTTATTTATTCTAACAGCAGTTATTCCCCGCCGTTTATTTAAACTAATTATATTAGAAATTAATCTTGACTGCTGTGGGCATCCCGGACAGTCCCCTAGAGCCAGTCCCGTTGTAAAAGGTGAAGGATGTGATGGTTTAAAGAAAGAAAAAAGACCTTCCCCTTGCCCGGCTGGCTTTGCCAGGGCAGGCACAGGGTGAAAATTGGTAGATTTTTTTTTTGGGTTGGGAGCGGGGGAAGTTGTGGTCTGGAAACCTTCTTCAACAATATAATGACGCGCACACAGGTACCTATTAAAATGAGGCCTTTTGGTTAAAAATACCACGCTTATCCACTGAGTTCATTTTTGTTTTGCTTTACTCATCTGGGAGCAGCCATGATTATAGAGAGCGGTGGGGAACGAGGGGCTCGGAGCCACCTTTTGTCCTCCTGAGCTCTGGGGGCTGCTTTTGGAAAACTCCAGCTGGTGATAGAGTCTTGCTCCGCTCTCCTGGTCCGGGAGGGGCTTTGGAGCCAAAAATGTAAGAAATAAATATTCCTTTCACATGATGGATTGTGTCCAGTTTTGGGCCCCCTACCATAAAAAAGACATTGAGGTGCTGGAGCGGGTCCAGAGAAGGGCGACAAAGATGGTGAGGGGTCTGGAGAATAAGGAGAAAGGTCTGGAGAACTTCTGAGGAGCAGCTGAGGGAGCTGGGGTTATTCAGCCTGGAGAAGAGGAGGCTGAGGGGAGACCTTATTGCTCTCTCCAACTCCCTGAAAGGAGGGTGTGGAGAGATGGGGGTTGGTCTCTTCTCAAGTCACAGGCGACAGGACAAGAGGAAATGGCCTCAAGTTGCACCAGGGGAGGTTCAGGCTGGATATTAGGAACAATTTTTGCACTGAAAGGGTTCTCAGCCCTTGGAATGGGCTGCCCAGGGAGGGGGTTGAGGCCCCATCCCTGGAGGTGTTCAAAAGCCGGGTTGATGTAGTGCTGGGAGGTCTGGTTTAGTGATGATGCTCCTTGTTTGTTGTGGGGGTGTCTATTTTTGTCAGTCAGGTTGACGGTTGGACAAGATGATCTTGAAGGTCCCTTCCAACCTAGAAGATTCTGTGATTCTGTGAATAATTCAGGTGCAGAGTGACAACACTTTCCAGTGTCCATCCAGCCACGCTGCTCCTGGGGACGGTGGCTTATGGCATCTGGTGGCTTCTCTGTGGCATTTTGCTGAGAGATTGAATGTTTTCGCCTTTTCCTGGGGAGGAATAAAAGGTCATTGCCGGAAGGAAACGGAGGAGGGGGGGGGCACACGACTTGATATTCTGCTGAAATCTTGAGTCTCCCCTTTCTTCCCCAGCAGCGTCAGTCCCTCGGCGTGTGGTGGCTCCGCTTACGCGCGGACACGAGGGGCTGGGACCCGGCGTGGCTTTGGGGACACAATGGCTCTCAGTTCGTCTTGCCCGGTCCTGCCAACCCTCTGGGCTGATCCTTCCCACCCTGCCATGAATGGTTTTTATTCACGGCAGTTTGGGGGGGTCCAAAGTTCAGGGCCAGGCCCCGGCGTGACGTCCTCGCGGCCGCCGCAGCCCTCGCAAATGCCGGGGTCGTGTCCTGCTCCTCAAAACGTCACGGCAAACGCCGTGTCCGACCCCGATGCTGCTGCTCCACCAAAGCAGCCAGCTTTGTTCCAGCCCGGTGGGGCGAGAGGTCTCTTTGTGCTGCAGATCCCATTTGTGTGCAGGGCTGGAGCCCTCAATATAAGAAGGACATGGACCTGATGGAGAGGGTCCAGAGGAGGGCCACGAGGATGATCAGGGGGATGGAGCACCTCTGCTCCGAGGACAGGCTGAGGGAGCTGGGGTTGTTCAGCCTGGAGAAGAGGAGGCTCCAGGGAGACCTAATAGCAGCCTTCCAGTACCTGAAGGGGCCTACAGGAAGGCTGGGGAGAACCTGTTTAGAAAGGGCTGCAGTGACAGGACGAGGGGCAATGGCTTCAAGCTGGAGGGGAACAGCATGTAAGAAATAAATATTCCTTTCACATGATGGATTGTGTCCAGTTTTGGGCCCCCTACCATAAAAAAGACATTGAGGTGCTGGAGCGGGTCCAGAGAAGGGCGACAAAGATGGTGAGGGGTCTGGAGAATAAGGAGAAAGGTCTGGAGAACTTCTGAGGAGCAGCTGAGGGAGCTGGGGTTATTCAGCCTGGAGAAGAGGAGGCTGAGGGGAGACCTTATTGCTCTCTCCAACTCCCTGAAAGGAGGGTGTGGAGAGATGGGGGTTGGTCTCTTCTCAAGTCACAGGCGACAGGACAAGAGGAAATGGCCTCAAGTTGCACCAGGGGAGGTTCAG